TTGCTTTGTTTTGTTTTTGTTTTTTTGAATGTCCAGAGGACCAGATTGAACTTTTTTGGATTTTTCTACCTGGATTATTGAGCATGCATCAGGATATAACAGACTTATGTTTGTTATGTTTGTAACGCTTGTCTTAACTGATGCTTTTCAATGTGGAAGCAAACCAAACAGTGATGAAGTAGCTTTACGCTGATTTTTGTTTTGAGTCACAGCAAATCGTGTTTTCATGATGCACAACATTCGAAGTACAGAGTCAGGGTGATGATTCTTCCCACAGACGCCTGAACTGGTTCCTTTTTGGAAATATTAGACATCTGATGGTCACAAGAACAACAACTGTGATGGGATCAAAACAGCAAAAAGAGAAAAAAAATTAAAATACATTTTACACTGACAGCTTGAAATTTGCTCAGCACCCACTAATGCAACCAACAGAATTAGTTTAGTATTTGTAAGTGGTGTTGAGAAAAAATTCTGTTGAAAGCAGCTGATCCAAAGATTAGATCAGTTCAGCATGAAGAAGGGAAATAAAATCACATGACTATAAGATAAATGTCCAACTGTTGTTAAGAAAATACAACAGGTTGTTTTCTGCCATTGTGAATAAAGTGTTTTTATGTTACACAATGAGTTCCTTTAGCTGAAGCGTTCGGTGATCTGAAAACAAGCAAAACATTTATCGACATCTCATTTCCCTCACTCAGGCACCTCACTTCATGTTAGGTGTTGGAATATTTAGAAGTTTCAAGTCTTCTGTGAGCTCTTATTCAGATTACCTGACTCTACAGCAGAGCATGTCTTTAGCTGAGAGATTAGACATTTAGTGCTAATCTGAAGCATGAAGCTGGGGTTATAACAGAGTTGTGTGCAAACACATTGTGGTGGTTCTGGCCCCATAAAATCGGCCCCCACAACTACCTGAAGCCTGATATGTCACTGGACTATCTGTGGCATTTCGCTCCAGGCCTTGGCCTTTTTCTTGGCCAGCGCCATCCAGGGGGGTTCGTCTTGTGGTAGAGCAGAGGGAGGCAGACCACGCAGGGGGTGTGCAGCCAGTCTAGGGAGGCCTGGAGCATTCAAACTGGACTTTTCTGTGTTGGTTTGGGAGGGAAAAGGATGGGAGGTGACTGAGGGCATTTGGGCTATGCTGTCAGGTTTGGAGAGAGCTGATGATGTTGTGCAGGGAGGGGGTTTGGAGGTGACAGGGACAGGAGTAGGCAGGGACGTGGCATTTTGGGGGGACTTAGGTTGTTGTGGAGGTGACTTTGCTGTGACAGGAGACACCTGGGGTTTAGAGAGTGGCTGGGATCTTGAAGGCTGAGGCGGCACTGGGGTTGGAGGGGAGAGAACTCGCTTGGTCTCCTTTTCACCAAACAGTGGTGGTTTATTGGTCGCTAGAGGAAAAATACACAAATAAACAAGGAAAAATAAACACACGTAAGAAAACAAGAAATAACTGTGTGAGTTGCAGATAATACATATAGTAACAACAACAACAATAACAGGATAAAAAAACTTGTGAAATAAATGCTACTTGTCATGAGAAAGTTGTAGAGGCGGAAAGAATCCACACGAGAGCAGCATTGTATCAGTGTAACGTGTTCACATGTTGCTGGTGAAGATTCTCAGTCATCCAGGACATGATAAATTAAAAAAAAACGTTCAATACAAAAACAACTGGACGTGACAAAGGACAGAGGCTGGTCCACCCTAAGGACAGAACACCCATACACAAACAGAGTGGTGTAGTGTATGTGGTCCAGTGCAGCGAGGACTGTCCAGACCTCTACATTGGAGAAACTAAACAGCCTCTTCACAGACGCATGGCTCAACACAGGAGAGTCAGCTCTTCAGGACAAGATTCAGCTGTTCACCTCCACCTCATGGATAAGGAACACTCTTTTGAGGACCAGAATGTGCACATTTTGGACCGAGAGGACAGATGATTTGAGAGGGGGGTGAAGGAAGCAATTTATGTTAAAAGAGAAAAAAATGTCTCTTAACAGAGGAGGAGGCCTCAGATTTCCACTTTCAAAAACATATAATGCAACTTTAAGATGAGTCCCAGTCGGTTTCCAAACCTAATGGGAACAGAGGGGCCTCGTCTGTGAATTAGAGGAACAAAGACCTTAAGAAACCCCCTACTGTTAAGGTGTTGTGTGAAATGTGATTTGTCAATCTACATGGGTATCTTATCTCAGCTTTATAACCTGAACCTCTCATTCACTGCTCTTTGAATTGAGAAAGCTCCTCGGATGAGGAGCGAAACGTCTTCTGTTACAAATAAAGTCCAGTTGTTTTTGTATTGAACGCTTTTTGTTTTTTTTAAGTGTTCACATGTTCAAATTCAAGTTCAAAAATACACCCACTAAGTTAGGTTTTCTGTATTTGAGTTAACACTTTATGTAAAATGTTTTTCTAAAAATGATAAATAAAAACATTAATTCAAAACAATACATTTCTTGAGTATTTTTCAAGAGTAAAAAAGTAGCCCGTGTCTGAACGTACAAAAAGCAAGTTTTTCTAAAAAATTAATTTGGGTTTTATTTTGTAAACTGACAAACTTTATGTAGGAGATATGAAAAGTTCAAATGAACTCAGACACAGTGGAAGTCAGTGATAGTTTCAATGTGTCCACTCTGCATTCTGGGAAGATCTGAGATTAAACCAAGAATCCTGCAGTAGAGACACACTGGGTGAAAGAAGACAAAAACAACAATGAAGCAGTGTTGTATAAAGTATCTCAAAGTGATACTTCAGTGAAAGTACAAGTATCTTACCATAAAATTACTTTGGCAAAAGTTAAAGACTCCTTTAAAATTATTACATAAGTAAAAGTTTTAATGTATCAGACATTTAATGTACTTAAGTATCAAAAGTAAATTTCTCTTATAAAATGTACTTAAAGTAAGAGTATTAAGTAAAAGTAAATGGTTAGAATTTCCAAAACAACGTTTATTGGGTGCAATATCCAGTGACAAAAAATTGGAAAGTTTGAACTGAACAATAAAAGATTGAACTTTAAAAATTCTGATTCTAATGAAGTATTCATGCTTTATTAACGTTTATTAACAAAGCTGTTAACCTCTACGCATGGCTCGGGCTCTGGAACCAGTTTCCTTGAGAGGGGCTGGACACTCTTCCACTCTGGAGTTGCCCCTGGTGAGAGGCGCCGAGCAGGTGTGGGCGTACTTATTGCCCCCCAACTTGGTGCCTGTGTATTGGGGTTCACCCCGGTGAATGAGAGGGTGGCCTCCCTCCGCCTACGTGTGGGGGGACGGGTTCTGACTGTCGTTTGTGCTTATGCACCAAATGGCAGTTCAGATTATCCACCCTTTCTGGAGTCCTTGGCGGGGGTACTGGAAAGTGCACCTTCTGGGGACTCCCTTGTTCTGCTGGGGGACTTCAATGCTCATGTGGGCAATGACAGTGAGACCTGGAGGGGTGTGGTTGGGAGGAACGGCCCCCCTGATCTGAACCAGAGTGGTGTTCTGTTGTTTGACTTCTGTGCTCGTCTTGGATTGTCAATAACGAACACCTTGTTCAAGCATAAGGGTGTCCATATGTGCTCTTGGCACCAGGACACCCTAGGCCGCAGTTCGATGATCGACTTTATCATCGTCTCATCTGATCTGCGGCCACATGTCTTGGACACTCGGGTGAAGAGAGGGGCGGAGCTGTCAACTGATCACTACCTGGTGGTGAGTTGGCTCCGATGGTGGGGGAGGATGCCGGTCAGACCTGGCAGACCCAAACGTATTGTGAGGATTTGCTGGGAACATCTGGCAGAGTCTCCTGTGAGACAGAGTTTCAACTCCCACCTCCGGGAGAACTTTGAACATGTTTCGAGGGAGGTGGGGGACATTGAGTCTGAGTGGACCATGTTTCGTGCCTCTATTGTCGAGGTGGCTTATCAGAGCTGCGGCCACAAGGTTGTTGGTGCCTGTCGCGGCGGCAACCCTCAAACCCGATGGTGGACACCGTCGGTGAGGGATGCTGTCAGGCTGAAGAAGGAGTCCTATCGGGCCTTTTTGGCCTGTGGGACCCCGGAAGCAGCTGATGGGTACCGGCAGTCCAAGCGACATGTGGCTCAGGTGGTTGCTGAGGCAAAAACTCAGGCATGGGAGGAGTTCGGAGAGGCCATGGAGAACGACTTCCGCACAGCTTCGAGACGATTCTGGTCCACCATCCGGCGTCTCGGGGGGGAAAGCGGTACGCCACCAACACTGTTTATAGTGGGAGTGGTGTGCTGCTGACCTCAACTCGGGATGTTGTGGGTCGGTGGGCGGAATACTTTGAAGACCTTCTCAATCCCACCGGCACATCTTCCACTGAGGAAGCGGAGCCTGGGGACTCTGGGTCGGGCCCTCCAATCTCTAGTGCTGAGGTCACCGAGGTGGTTAAAAAGCTCCTTGGTGGCAGGGCCCCAGGGGTGGATGAGATTCGCCCGGAGTTCCTTAAGGCTCTGGATGTTGTAGGGTTGTGTTGGCTTACGCGACTCTGCAATATTGTGTGGACATCGGGGGAAGTTTCCCTGGATTGGCAGACCGGGGTGGTGGTCCCCCTATTCAAAAAGGGGGACCGAAGAGTGTGTTCCAACTACAGGGGAATCACGCTCTTAAGCCTCCCTAGTAAGGTCTATTCGGGGGTTCTGGAGAGGAGGGTCCGTCGGATAGTCGAACCTCGGATTCAGGAGGAACAGTGCAGTTTTCGTCCTGGCCGTGGAACACTGGACCAGCTCTACACTCTCAGCAGGGTCCTGGAGGGTGCATGGGAGTTTGCCCAACCAGTCTACATGTGCTTTGTGGACTTGGAGAAGGCGTTCGACCGCGTCCCTCGGGGGGCCCTGTGGGGGGAACTCTGGGAGTATGGGGTACCGGGCTCTTTGATACGGGCTGTTAGGTCCCTGTATGACTGGTGCCAGAGCTTGGTCCGCATCGCCGGCAGTAAGTCGGGCTTGTTCCCGGTGAGAGTTGGACTCCGCCAAGGTTGCCCTTTGTCACCGATTCTGTTCATAACTTTTATGGACAGAATTTCTAGGCGCAGCCAAGGTGTTGCGGGGATCCGTTTTGGTGGCCTTAGGATTGCGTCTCTGCTTTTTGCAGATGATGTGGTCTTATTGGCTTCATCAGATCGTGATCTACAGCTTTCGCTGGAGCGGTTCGCAGCCGAATGCGATGCGGCCGGGATGAAGATCAGTTCCTCCAAATCCAAGGCCATGGTCTTGAGCCAGAAAAGGGTAGAGTGCCCTCTCCGGGTCAGGGAGGAGGTCCTACCCCAAGTGGAGGAGTTCAAGTATCTTGGGGTCTTGTTCATGAATGAGGGAAAAATGGAGCGTGAGATCGATAGGCGGATAGGTGCAGCATCTGCAGTGAAGCGGGCGCTGTACAGGTCTGTCGTGGTGAAGAGAGAGCTGAGTCAAAAGGCGAAGCTCTCAATTTACTGATCGATCTAGGTTCCCACCCTCATCTATGGTCACGAGCTTTGGGTTGTGACCGAAAGAATGAGATCTCCGATACAAGCGGCCGAAATGAGTTTTCTCCGCAGGGTGTCTGGGCTCTCCCTTAGAGACAGGGTGAGAAGCTTGATCATCCGGGAGGGACTCGGAGTAGAGCCGCTGCTTCTCCACGTCGAGAGGAGCCAGTTGAGGTGGCTTGGGCATCTGTTTAGGATGCCTTCTGGACGCCTCCCTGGTGAGGTGTTCCGGACACGTCCCACCGGAAGGAGGCCCAGAGGAAGACCCAGGACACGCTGGAGGGACTATGTTTCTCGGCTGGCCTGGGAACGCCTCGGGATTCCCCCAGAAGAGCTGGCCCAAGTGGCTGGGGAGAGGGAAGTCTGGGCCTCCCTACTTAGGCTGCTACCCCCGCGACCCGACCCCGGATAAGCGGAAGAAAATGGATGGATGGATGGAACAAAGCTGTTAGAAAGCTCACATTGTTGTGTAGTTGGCTTGTTTACTGAGCTATGTTCTGTTTGGTTATGGCTTGTTTCTTTCTGACTAATTAATAATCAAAGATATATTATAGGATAAAATAATAGCATAGGACGTAATAGTTCCCATGCTTTTGAAGCAGTTCATGTCCTGGAGAGCACCAAACTTCTCATGTTTAGCAGCTACCGTCATTTTCACACCTATCGGGAATGTGTCTCCACTGTGAGTCAACAAAGACCTATTGTAATGATTGATATCTGTATATACATGTACATAGAGTTTTCACACAAGCTGCGGGGGAGGGACTGGATTTGTGATTGACAGTGTCAGTGAGGGAGAGAGAAGGGGCCGCATGAAGTCACAGACAGGGAGAACAAACTGGCATTGCCCAATCAGATTTCTTCTCATTTTAAATTGTAGTAACTATTATCTAAGATGGTTAAGAGAAATGTATTGAAG